CCGCGAAAAAAGAACTGTATAAATTAGAGGCATATCCTCATATTATTCCAACAAGTGTACCACATACACAATTTTTTTCATTTTGTAAATTTCAAATGTTTTGAACATGGATGTATCTTAAAGTGATTATGTAGGATTTAATTTAATTTCACATTGTTTACTATTTTTTACATATATAAATATGCATGCATTTTGAGGGAGGGAAAGAAATAAATACCTGTTTTGAACACTGATTCCATGGACAATATTCTTGATCTATGATTATAGGATTGGTGACGTTAATCATGACTAGATTCTCAAAACGCAATTGAGAGACTGGAATTTTTATTGAAGTACCAGGCCACGTCTTGATTCTCACACCATTGTCAGTGTTTTTGAAAGTACAATTCTTTACTATCAAACCTTCCACAGGTTCTTCATTTTCATATCTTCCCAAGCTTCCAACACTAATGCCATGCCCAGGTCCGCATGTCACATTCTCAACGCTGACTTGTCTGCTTCCATCACCCAATGAGATACAGTCATCTCCTGTTCCAATATTTGAGTCGAGTATTTTTACTTGTGTTGACCTTCCAATATGAATTCCATCTGTATTTGGACTTTCTGCTGGGGCCTCGATGGTGAATTTGTTGAAAGTGATATTTCGGCACCCTAGAACATTCACATGAAAGTGTTTGCTGTGTTTTGATGTTATGTCTCGAATGATCGAATTGTTCATGAAGCTGAAACCGAAATTCTGAAAAGATTCCAAAGAAGTTAGACTATTAAAAGAATTCATAAATCATTGATTCAGATTTTTTTTTTCATTATAAGAGAAAGCTAAATTAAAAGGAGAAAAAGGTGTCAAGCATTATAGAATGAACACAAGTTAATCTAATTTTTCTTCTCTTTCTCTTAACCGATCATATAAGAAAATTCACATCTTTTGTGATTTTTCATGTTAAAACGAATACTCTCATGTTATTATTTAGAAATTATACATCTATTATGTTTCAATCAGAATTTTAAGAAAATGATGATATAAGGAATTCAACACGTTTATGAATTTTGGAAGTGTGTATAATTTATTAATTACCATGGAAAGCTTTTTGCAGTTCCAAGTTTGATGACAATTATTTTGCTTCCAGGCTATTGAACCTCGACCATCAAAAGTGGCACCACCCGATAAGGTAAGGGAATCAATATATCCAAATCTAATCCATTGAGCATCCCCATCAAATTGATTGGGGTTTTCAGGTGCTGCAATGTTGCCTTCAATGTGAAGCTCAATTGGAGCCTTACATGGACCGTTTAGCTCTATCTGTCTCAAACTGTATGTACTTTTTGGGACCAAAATTTTGCTTGCACTTGTTGATGCACATGCCGTCTTCCAAGCTCTCGCTAAGCTCTTCTCAACATCAATCAACAAAAGCCAAGTATATTTCAGTAAAATATAATTGCTAAAAAAATTTTTTAGGCAGGTATATATACTTAACATGTGACAACAACAAAACAAAAATTTATGGCAAAACTTACTTTTCATTAAAGAAATCCATCAAAAGATTTGTTGTACAAGTTTTGCAAGGGAAATGTTGTAAATTTGTCACAAAAGAAATATTTGCAAAGCCGCATTGCAAAATCAATTTGTAACATACTAATTCTTTTATCCCAATTTTTTTGTTTGCAGTGAACTTTCAAATTAGGAATTCAAGATAAATACTCACTGAAGTCAGATCTCCATTAGGTGCTCCACCATATTTTCTTATATCAAAAACCACAGGCTGAGCCATAATTGAAGATGCCAGTAGGAGGAATAAGGCATAAATATGAATAATACTCAAATTCGCATCCATGTTTAGTTTTTCTTCCTTGAATTCCTTTATAGGCCTTTCTTCCTCTCTTGTTCGAATACAACAATGTCTATTAGAGTTGTAGAAGATGATGAATCCCCATTACACAGAGAGCTATTTATATTGTTATGGTAAAACTGAAAAAACCATATAAATAGCCAAATAATGAAATTATAAACCCATAGTAGTTTTCCTTTAAACGACCATGTAACTAAAGCTCGTTTTTTTAACAATTATATTTCACATTTGGGCATTTGGGATGGGATAATTAAAATTTTCCCGAATTTCAAGATTTTGTTTCAAAGTAAGTTAACAACATTGCCCAAGGCTTAAAAACAAACAATCGTTATCCATAAGTTTATTGGGAAATTCAAATTAAAGGCTGTTGCTGCAAAATTCATTTTTGAGAAATTTATCCCAACGAATATAGCATTTTAGTGTTTATTTGTTAATTACATGTGCACATTTTTCCAATAGTTCTTCACATATGTTAGAACTGATTATATAATTGTTGAAAAATATCACAATAAAAGGATGGCTTGCTTTAGGTTTTTTCTGGTCTGAATATATGGATGATGTCCGGTCTAATATTCGGCACATTTGATTTATTGGCGGATTTAATACTCAAGTAATTCACACACATTCACTATTCATTAATAGTATCTTCTTTTTCATAGATATCTTTTCTTTGGAAATAATTAGAAGCCAACACCCCATTTAACTTGTGGCATGCACCCTCAACATCATGTCAACAAGATACAATATTCTATGAATACCATTGCCATTGGATCAATTTATACTCATATATGATTCATAACCAGTCTTATTTTCTATTCCCATCTACTTTTATATTTTACCTAGCTAAGAAAATTCTAGTTGTTTATACTAGTTGTATTTGTCTATCCTATATGAGATAAGATTAGGTACTAAACATAAAAACCTCTTTTAATCGAGATTTGAACTTTGATTTATCATTTTATGAGAAATTAACTTTTTTCGTTGGACCAAATTTTTATTGGTTATTGTTATGTTACTTTTTCTAACAAGTACATTAAATACTTTACCTTATAGCTAATTTGATTGACTAATGACTAGATTTTTATATCTCACTACTAGTTGTTCATAAAACCTATAAATAAGCATCATTTAAGTTTTGAATAATGAATTGATTGTTTATAAGTGTTGAAAATCTTATTCTTTACTTAATTCGTTCAATTTAGAATTACTCTTCCAACTATCAACTTAGTGTTTCATTGTATATTATCTAAACTTTTGAGGATTTCATTATCAACTTAATCTCATGACCTTATCTCATTATTGCTTGAGAGACGCTCAGAATTAGAGGAAATCTTTAGGGGATCAGTCTACTTCAAGTGTAAGGCAGTGAAACAGAATTTGACAATGTGGTGGTCAAATGGATATACTGAGCTTATGTGAGAATTTGGTTTAATCTTGCACTTAAGTAATTGGAGCTGAGCTAGAATAAATTATCTCTGTTTATTTTCCTGAACTCAAACTCTCATTATTATACTTTCTTTTTCCGCTCAAGTACTGTTAACACTATTACTATAATTTTTAGAGAAATTTTTTTAATCCCCAATTCACTCATTTAAGAAAACAGCCAACTTTCAGCAATTTGACCAGGATATAAACCCATCTTGACTTTATAAATCAGTGGGAACCCAACCATTACGTCCATTTAATTTTCTTTCCACATTCTCTCCATTTATTATTTTTATCATTGGATTAACATTCAATAGTTGAGATTTACTAAATTATAAAATACTATTATAATATTAATTAAACAACAAATATATATAAGCAATCAGAAATTACTATGCATACATTACTTTTATAGATTTTTATTTAAATATTTTGTAATTTTTTTTATCCTGTGCTGTCTCATTATAATAATATCATAGTATTTATTTATGTACAGGTTAAAGTTATTTATATATTATTTAATATTACAATATTGTTATAATTTATTAAATCTCAACCATTGGATATTAGGCCAATGGTAGGGATAGTAAACGAAGAAAGGTGGGGAGAAAAAAAGTTTAAATGGAAACATTCTTTTCCGAAATACAGCATTTGAAATTTCAGCATTCCTAAGATGAGCAATGTCGTCAAATATAATGTATAAAGATTTCATTAAGTATTCATTATTCCTTCTTAATTGTGTTTGTCTTGGGAATCCATCACATAACTCACATTGAAATATTATTCTAAAATCTTTATTCACGTTTCAATTTTTGAAATTTGCGTTATAGTAAAGCCTTCTTTTCTTCTCCTCCCACGAAAGTATATGCTTATTAGTTCATTAAAAAAGCTTTGCTAGCTTAATTAATGGTCTCATATGAATCTGTTGGAACAGCTCACTGCCCTTGTGAGTTGTGACCACTTAGTCCGAGCCCAGAGTAGCTCCAAACACTACGCCGAAATAAAAACGTTAGAAAGGACGAAAGAAAAGGACCAACATAAAGAAACATATTATAGTATATTTATTTATTAAGTGTAACGGATCCATTCTCCAACTAAACTTGTAAGTATTTTACTAATTTAGGCAGAGATGCTTCCTCTTGAGAACGAAAAGATTGAAAAAGTTTAAAAAAACAAAACAAAACAAAAAAACCAACCAAAAAAAATCCATGTAACTGTACCCGGATAGGCAAATTCTTTTACCTGTGTCCAGACATTAATTTTGTAGCTACATAATCATATGATTCAAATATTCACAGGTTAGAAAAACCATAAAATATTTCCCAGTATAAAGTCATGCGAGGTTTCACTGTTTTCCTTATACAATTCAGAGAGAAAAAACTAGTTAGGAGGCATGGAGCTCAATAAACAAATCAACTGGCAAAAGGTTTCTATTCTACGCCCTAAAGGAGTTGAAGGCCAAAAAAAAAAAAAAGGAACTAAAGGAGTTATTTTCACAGTCATACACTTGGCGTCCATATGGGTTGCCCGGTAGGACAGCATAATGCAGAGACTTCATTTTGAAATGTTAAATGCATGAAGACTTGGTTCTGAAGAAATTGAAAAGTTGCACTAGCATTTGTCTGATGTGAGGATCTCAAGGAGGCATGGTAGTTCTTCGGCACCCTGACAGAATATTATAACTCAACTGATAGTTTCAATGACTTGCCAATAAAGAATAAAATAGAAGATACAAGCTTATTTTAACCATTTCTTGCAAGAGCTCCGGCAGCAAAAATAGATTCCTCCGGGAAAACTGCACCATGAGCAGGATACAGACTTCAGCATGATTCAGGACTATCCATGGGTAAACATGAAAAATAAGGAATTTGAAACACTACTTACCCGCAAAGAGGAAACTGGGGTAGGCTTTGGTCGGCAGAGTCTTTAATGATCTGAGTCTGTTAGTACTCCCGCTCCTGCAAATTACATTTGACGCAGTTAATCTTTGGTGGGAAAAAAATTCCCGAGACATTGATAGGCTGGATCTGTTCATACTCCTCTGATCCTCAATGTAGGATCTAATTTAAGAATTATGTTGGTCATACATGTAAAACCTATTTTACATGTTT